CCGCACCGTATGATTTCACCCTTACACACGATAAAAATAATAGTAATGCGCATGCGCGAACAAAACATCTTCTTTAATTCAAAAAAGATACGCATTTAAAAAAAACTCATGAGGTCACACATGCATATCACGCCTAATTATAGATTTGATTTTTTTCTTTTAATATTTTTACTATATACAGCACAAAAAGATGTAGAAACAGATGTAGAAAGTTGAAATTATTTTATTTTATGTAAAATAAAACAAATTATTCAAAAATTATTTTATTAACAAAATAATAGGAAACAATAAAATAAGGCAATAGAACATTTTTCATGAATTCCTTCATAAATTTTGTTTTTTGAAAAATACAACATTATCATATAAAATATAAAAATAATAGAAATAAAAAGAATTATTATAAAATCACGATTAATATTGATTATTTATTATGCGTGAAATTGGAGTTTTACTGTCATAGCAGGTGTATTTCCGCGTATTAAAACAAAATCCGCCAAAAAATAGAGGCCAAGCTCTGATTGACTGCAGCAGTCCAATATGTGCAAGAATTTGTGTACTCCAGTGTACTCACATGTTTCCCATGATTCACAACTTCCGCCAGTCCCGCCGAATAAAATAAAAAATCTCGTCTATACAATATACAAGTGTAGTTAGTTTAGTGTAGTACAGTGTAATAGCATTATAAGTAGCATTTGATACATTTTTGTGCGACACTCGACAGACCTTCAAAACGTAAGAGATTTCCAACTTTGTCATTTTCTCTACTAAAATTGAAGGACTAATTTTAAATAAAACTAAATATATTTTACAGGGCAAACTATGGAGAAATCTGTACCCAGAATCATTGGCTTTTAAGTATCAGCTATAACATTATATAAATATTAAAATACGCATTTAAGATTCATAACTGACTGTTTGACTAAAGAAATATATGCAATTGACAAGGACACAGTAACATTATATAACTCTTCATTGTGCCGAGAAGCGTCAAGAATATATACCTATGGAAAGTCCACAGCATTATTCATGGACTTAGGTTTTATCGTTCTATCATAATAGCTTCTATTCTACCAAAATAAGCAGGTATAAGCAATAGAATAGTCAAGTGTGGATGTTAAAATTTTTAACGTAAATTTCTAACAAAACTAACCGTTTTCTATAATCAACAATTTTTGTATTTACTTAATACTGAGAGTCGTGGTCACAACAGAAACTTTTTATAAAAAATTTTATGATAAATCTTATCTTTCATATTAATTGTGATGATATGATTTACAGGTTATATTTTGTGGAGATTCTGAAATTCTCAAGTTAAACATCAGAATCTCAAAGGATACGCTCAAGGATTAGTTCTTATTTATAATTTATATACTTGTCCAACATATATCTAGAATATATAAAATAATAGTGGAAACATGAAACGTGTACCATTGCATAAAGCACTAGAATCATTGGCTTGGCTAGAAGGAACGTGGCAAACAGAGAATCAAGGCAGCGGAAAATACCCGACAATTAAGGATTTTAGCTATTATGATGAAATAAGCTTCACGTCTTTAGGGCAACCTATGTTCAATTATGCTGCGCAAAGCTTTTCTAATTCGGATTTGAAGAAGCCGATGCATCGGGAGACAGGTTTTCTGAAAGTGAACCCTGGAACTAATCAAGTAACTCTTATCTCAGCACATAATTTTGGTATAACTACCATTGAATGTGGCGAGATAACTGACAAAACCATCAACTTAAACAGTACTGATATAACTAGGATAAAAGAGGCAAAGATGCCCCATGTAACACAGGTATAACTAATAGTAAATTCAGTTACTTGCATTATACTAGATTAGCGCATGCTAAAAGGTACTATACATAAAATTAGTAAAGTTAAATGTAAAACATAAATATTATTTGATTTAATATTTCAATTCGTCATGTTATTTAATAAATATGTATTTTTGTCAAATGATTTGAATACCTATGTTATATCACTACATTTAGATATTTTGTATAAAGTAACCTTTAATGTGCACTAATTCATTGTAGTGTGACCAAATTCATCATAAATTTTATCAACTTAGCATTGCAGTTGATATTTATGTAAGTGATAGCATAATTTTGCAATTAAATTACATTTCTAATTTTATGGCAGGTATGCAGGGAATTTAAACTTCACGATAATTATTTGGAATATGTGTTTTACATGGCGACATCGAATACTCCAGTGTTGACTGAACACTTACGAGCAAAGTACATGAAAGTGAACGAAGAGAAATAAAAGAATATAAGATAGGGTGATCAGATATCTAGTTTTCCAGACATGTACTCTTTCTTAAGATGCAGACTGAGTTTTCAATATGTCCTGGGTGTGTACTCTCTTTTGGTACTTATTTTGAGAAAGAGCGAGAAGACGGAAGTTATTAAGCCCATGAAATACATAATAGTAAACTAATCACTAAATCATTATTATTAGGGATGCACCGGATCATAAAATTACCGAATACCGGATATCGGATATCCGGTGCATCCCTAATTATTATGTATCTGAATAAAATCTGTGAATAAAATATTTGAAAATTGTTAAGTATTATTATATAAAACATTTTTTTGCTAATACTAAATATGTGTTTTTATCATTTTTAGGATTTTGAAATGTATACATTTTTTCTTCTATATACTTATTTTATACCATATCTTTTTTGTTCTACTTTTAATTCTTGATGTCCTACTTTTGTACTACTTTTTAATTTGGAATGTCCTAGTTTACCAAAGATAGATCTGATCACTCTACCAGAAGAGCAAATAAAGTTTTAATTTTATTATACGCTTTTGACAATTAATTACTGTTATTTTGTAAGTATAAATAAAATTTTAGAGCGATAAAAACGCGCCGAATGAATTATTCATTATCTAATAATCTACTGCGATTATATGTGCATCCGTGCACACGTTGCATAACAAATTTGATATTCCATCGCAGATTTCACGCAAATTACCTTAGAAAAGTGTTCACTTTGTTATATAACAGCTCGAGACCTGTTTTTCGTGACTGCATAATATTATGTTTTCTGCACTTCGGATATGTATATATAATTAAATATAAGAGAGAAACAGGAAAGATGACAACTAGATGTTGAAAAGAATAGATTTGTAATAATACATGGAGCATATATTTTTCCGATTGATGATCGTGATTTCTATTTGTGAGATAAGTATCAAGTAAATGTCCGTAATGTTACAGAACGTTACGTGCTAGCGTATAGTTTCATGTAATAAATGAGATTGTGGGACGATGCGAAGGTATAAAAGATTGGAAATCTCACGTTGCTATCTCAATGTGAAGTGTGACTTACTGTTGAAGACGCGTAGATACGAAAAGCCAATCAGAAGCCTTATTAGACTACTAGATTGCCAACTACAACTGTCGCAAAGATGCAGATGAAGGTCTTGCAGCTGCATGAGCTGTTGCATGTGCTGGCCTGGTTGGAGGGCACGTGGATAACGAATGAGCCCGCAGTGGGCACGTACCCGACCATCAAGCCCTTCAATTACTACGATGAAATAAACATTACATCCACAGGTCAGCCGATATTCAATTACATCGCGCAGAGCTGGCATGCGGATTCAGGGACACCGATGCATCGAGAGACCGGCTTCCTGCAGATCTTACCAGAAACTAACAAGATCGTACTTAGTCTAATTGATAACATAGGATTGTTTACGGTCGAACAAGGTGATCTGATGGGTGATGATAATAGTACCATCGACTTGAACAGCACCAATATAGTAACGACAGATGCATCGATACCGTCTTTTCCGACTTTAACAGAGGTACGATTAAGTTTTCGGATATATGTATATTGGATGTCTTGTAACTGTAGATACGACCGCGAATGGGTAAAGATTCTATATGAACAAGTAAGTAAAAATTTAACAAAGAGAAAAAAGAAAATTAATTGTCTAATCTCTCAAAAGTTAATTTTTTTAAGCACAAAGTTTTATAAAGGCTTGTCTTCAACTGAAATTGACCACATCGCGATTGGCATATTGATTTTTTCTGCCTTTTTTTTAAATCAAAGATGAAGAAACCAGTATGTTAATCACAGCATGATCGGCTTCAGTGGGGACAAGTCTTCAGAAGAGCTCTTGTTAGGATCATGATTTAAGAATATGATGTCATTTGATGTACCGTGATGCCTTCTTATATGGTTACGATAAATTTTTTATTTTTATTCTATTTTTTATTTATTTTAAAATATAGATTTATTAATCGAATGTTGTCTCTCCAGTTACAAGACTTATATTTTTCTTTTGTATGTTACACTTGCTCACATTTTGCGTAATATATTTGCTCATGAAATCTCGCAAATATCGAACATTAATAATTATATAAGCGGAAAATTGTTGATTTTCATTAACATTCATTTTTTTTCCACGACAGACACGTCGAGTGTACAAACGCAATGGCGACAACTTGGAGTTCATTTTCTACATGGCGACATCGAAAACACCTGAGTTGACGGAACATTTGCGTGCAACGTATAGAAAGGTGGTATAAAGATCCGTGAAAGATATGTGTGTGCCAGAAGACACGAAAGCACGAAAAAATCTTTAAGTTTCTACGAATTATTCTTCACTCGTTTTATATTTATTTAAATGTAAAAACAATATTCTTGGAAAACATAAATGTATTCCTTGATATAGTTAATAAATAGCCATGTATTCATAATTTATTAATGCAGCATAGTGTGTTGGTTTGTACACAATTATACACCCTCTCTTATTTCGCTTTTATCAAGGTAAATCAACTAACTGGAAGGTAGGAAGTCGGGGCACACGATATCTAGGAGAAAATTTGCAACTGGCACGCGACGTGACCGCATAGAGTACTGCGCCACAGATTGCATCCTTAAGCATATCCTTTCACGCCCGATCGATGGAATTTAGTTATATTTCGTCGCTAACTACTGCAATGTGACTTTTATCGATTGTAATACTTGAACGTTGCGATTGACGTTGGAGTTACGTCGAGGTACCACAAATTTTAACTTGGTCCCTACTGTTTCAATTGCGTCATTATTCGTAAAATAGAATTTGAGATAAGGAATCGAAAAATAGAAATTTTAGTGTCTAATATTCTAGTATTCTATTTTTTATAGTATATTTTTAGAAAGCTTTTATAATATTTATTATATGATAATGTTACGATAATAATCATCGATAAATTTCTGTCTAACTTTAAGATCATGTTGGAGAACAACGTTAAGAACAGTGGAAGAATTAAACTCTGAGTAACAGGAAAAATTTGTTCTGCATTAAAATTTATCAAATTAAAATAAATGTTAAAAATATTCACTTTCTGAAATTAGATATTAAAAACTGTAAAAGCCAGAAACTTTATTTTAACTTTAAAAGGTGCCTTGTTAAAAAAGATATATTAATAATTAAACTTTTTATTTCTTTTTACATAATTATCAAATTTATAATAAAACATTTTATTTCTTTAATTATATATATGAAGATTCCAGTTTTGATTTTAACAATACAAAAAATCGTGACTGAACAGTTCTGAAATGATACATCATGCAGGTACCAGTCGCACACGTGGCGGACCCACGCGTTTCGTAACATTGTGAAATTCAAGTTAAAAATTCGCTGCTTAGTCGCACGAATTTACTCGGCATAAAGGGAGTAGGGAACGTAACACCTGCGTGTTTACCCGCTGAAACAGCCCCGACCTGCCACGGTAGACTCGACGATTCGACCGCGACAGTTGCTCACCGCGTCGGCATGACGAAGGATCGTTTCCTCGCCCTGAAGGTCTTGAGGATATCGGACGCAAATACCTCGCGCATACCAAGTGTTCATTTCATTGTTGCATCTATACCGCCGTTGTGAACAATTCTGGGCGATTCGAGTGTCGTTTCACGATACTCGAACTTTTGCCCTAACAACTTAATCTTCGTTTGAATCAAATTTGATCATTTTTTAATTTAAAAGTATGCCTCATTTAATCATCATGTTAAATCTTAATTCTATTCCTTTTTCTATCCACTTACTAATTTCTATCTTGTACTTTTCCTTCAAAAATATTTAATTCTTTTTAAGTAACATCCGCGCTTTTATGATTTAAATATTCTATATTCTCTAATTATTTTCTGCTAAACACGAAGTAGCAGTAACATTACATCAATATTATAATTTCTCGCTAACAATATAAATAATATAACATATGTACGTAATAAGTTATATTGTTAAATAAGAAATTATCAGTATAATTATATATTGAAGTAATATTACTGCCACTTTATGTTTAGTGAGTTTTTAATATTTGTTTACGAAATCTTTCTTTTTAAAAACTCTGTTTCTTCATTTGTGTCAAAACTTTAGCCTGGTATTCCTTCCACTCTTTTTTTATTTTACAAAGTTGTATTTTTTTTCTTCTGGAGAAATTAACATAATTTTAAATTCGGAAAATTAAACTAGAAAACTGTAGGAAGTCGATGTGAGTAAAAATGCGTTCGTTTCGAGAATTTGTATTATTGTCTTCACATCTGTTTCAGAGATGCTAAAATATTCTTTGAATCACGATTATCGACGCCGCAAGATACTCTCGTCTTTCGAATCGCACCATACGTAAACTTGAACTTCCGTCGCGTGGAGCATTATTTGAATCGATTGTGCGTCGATAGCTTCGATGTACGACGATCGTCCTTCGACTTTTTGGTCTCTGAATGGCGCGCAGCATGGCACCGCTTTACGATGGCCATGATTATTACAAGAGAATGTTTGAGCTTCAGGAGAAGCTGCGGAAGAGGCAAGTACTTCCAGGATAATCTTGCGAACGCGGGAATACTATTGTTGATAACATCGCGAAATTTTCAGCGAGGAGGAGAGAATACGACTGGAGGAGCGATTTACCATGCTTATGGGAGAGTCCCGTAACAGGTGAGTGAGTTTTAAATCCGTTTGGAATTCGAGAACTAAAATTCCTGCGATGCCGCGTTGACAGATTTGAATTTGGAATAGACAATGCAAATCAATATGACATCATCCTCATAGCAAAAAAGAGTTTTAACAATATCACAATAAAGTCATGGTGAATGTTCACTTTGTCACAGGCGTGATATCACTATGAAACTAATAAAAATTGCACTTCACTATGACACTGCTATGACATACATAAAGATAATAAAATGTTATATATATCATTGTGACTTTTTTTACAATGACATTACTATTTATCCGTGACTATTGTGAGTCTATTGTGATGTGAATGTAACATTTTTTGCTATATTATAATTATAAGTATGATCATAATGAAGTTATTGTAGTGAATCATAGTGAAGTTTGCTATACGTTTAGAAAATTAATAGTAAGTAATTACAAATCTTGTGGTCTATTTATTAGGTATTATTTATATGTATACATGTACTATTCTCTATAATGTAATATATTACCATTAACGTATTATCAGCGATTAGAGAAAGATGATAAGAATTATTAAAAGATAATTAAAAATTTTTTATTCAATTTTTATTTTTGAAAGATATAACAACATATTGCAGTTATTTTTAAATGTTTTAGCAGTCAAAAAATTTACTATCAATAAATTTACTTCATCTGGAAGCTACAGCTAGAAATGATTGGTCAAATCGACAAGATCGTCGATCAATGTTGATTCTAATAATTATTTCTGGCAGGATATTTTTTGGACAAATTTCTCAATTTAAAAATATGAAATTTTGAATGAGTCGTTCTGGCACATCGCTTAGTGCAGCAATAATGTAGAGAAATTACTTGAAATACTCGATATCGATTCAGTGGCAGTCCGGTTCTACGGAATGTCACGATCAATAACAGCCGCGAGCTCAATCCCATTCCCGTCGACATATCTCCACGCTCGGGACGACGTGAATTCTGCTCTCTCGTTGTTTACGCGTCCTGATTCGTGTCTGGCCGAGACATCCGAGCGTTTCATTGATCGTAAACGTAGGATAAAAATGTTCACGTATATCATACCTCACGATAGTGCGCGCCTCCATTTTCAAAGGAGTTGCGTTAGCTGTATATTGTCGCGGCGACCTTATGCCGCCGAGGTGACCTGGCGAGGGAGTCACATTAATTCCTTAATCGATCGCTTAACTATTTGAGTGAACTATTTCTACGTAATTTAAAAAAAAAAGAGATGAATATGTGCGAGATATTTAACGTAAGGGGTCCACAATAAGCCATATTATTTAAGCTTCAAGTCTTAAATCGTAAGAAATTGATCAATCATAGCCAAATGTGAGAAGTCGAATCAACTATGAGTGGTCAATTTCTTACGACTTAAAGCTCAGATAATAGCTTATTGTAAAAAAACCTATAAAACATGATTCTAATTTGCTAATTTTTTTATTGCAATTTACACAATACCGTATATCTGTAGAATTAATAATGTTATGAAAATAGATGAGAAAAAATGCTAGAAAATAACAGGGTATTTTCGAAAGTTAAATTTGCCATTCGATGAATGATTTTTTAATTACAGACACGATGTCTGTATAAATCGATTACGCATGAGATATATACAGTATCTGGAGGAACAACGCACGAGGGATGAAAGAAATCACAAGCTTCTAGCCGCATTGGACAGAGTTATGAACAAACTTGCTCTGATAAGCGCGAAAAAAGACAGACTCAATGTTCTCAGAGTGAGTATTTATTATTTTAGTTTTTATATCCTTGATTATATTTTTTATAGAAAAATTGCTTCAAGCTATTTTTTTTTTGTTATAACAGTATTACATTAAATCATTACATTAAATCATTATATTAAAATAAAATAATGAATTGTTGAAAAATAAGAAAAGCTGATAAAATTCCAGTTACGTTTTTATTTTCTTTTTAAGATTAATTTATTATTAATATGAAATGCAATCAATTTTTATTCTAAAGACTTAAGTTTTTTTATTTATTTATATTTATATTATCAAGCTCCGTTTTTTTATACATGCAAAGATAAATTGAAAATACAAACGAAAACTGATTTTCTCGTTTGTCATACCTACAATGCGTTTCAGTTATGTAAAACGATTTTATCAAAAATTCAAATTGTAGACATACATAAATATACATATAGTTTCATATATCGCGCTATATTATTCGTCCATTGTAGCCACATAATGAGATATGAATATGTAAACGCAAACAAATGAATCAATCCCAGCAAACACAAAATAACGTACCTGTTAATTATAATTTCACACTTAAACAATATAACATATACGTTATATTTACAGTTATATTAATTATTGAAAGAGAAATTACAAACTAACAGGTACGTTACATATAATTTTTTATTTGTTCTACGTTGTTGTGTTTATAATATTCTACCTTTTATAATAAGCATGTTTGTGTCAATTAATAATTGTGTTTATAATAAGCGACAATATTGGTTTCTTTCCAGAAACAGTACGAAGCTTATCTACTTCGCGCTTACGCCAATCACCGGCCACCCGGTAGCGTCACCGAGGATAGCGGAATCGCCAGTCAGAATGAGGATAGATACACGAAGAAAACCGTCGCGTTGGCACATCCCGATTTAGCATCTGCGGAAACAAGAAGCATTTCATCACCGCGATTGCATCCGGGGGCGCCTGGTCCACAGTCGAGTCAGCCAAGGTCTACTTCTGCGTCCAAGTTGTACAATCAGACTGCCGCAGATGTCTCGTTAAATAATCCTCCACCAATTTTGACAACTGCGCCATTAGGCGCAACCCTCGATGTTGATCATCGCCAGGCGAATGTTCTATATGGACCGCATGTTTATGCCTCCGTGCCGAACGCTCATCAATATCCGCGAATGATACCTTCCAATTACGACGGAAGTGTGCCTCGCAATCTTCAGCATGTTCCGGACATTCGCGTTTCACATGCGGAAGCGCCGGTAATATCAATTGCGCCTTCGGATCATCCCACTAATCGGTTCTTCAGGGAGCACATGGAATCGGTACAAAGCGCATCCGGTCTCTCGGCGACCGCGCGATTTCCTGCTAGTGTCTGTTCAACACCAATTCGACCCCTTGACCTCACGTCATTATCACGACACCAATATATTGATGTCCGATCCACGATCGCGGATAAGAGAATACGATCGGTCCGATACCGCGGCCGTGGAACCGACTTTAGTGACCGGGAAATCGAGTACATACCGAACAGGATCTGACATGAACATCGCTAATCAGGTCGGTCCGCTACCGGGATACATGGATTACATCCTGGCGAGTTCGCAGAAATCCGATGACGAAGGATCCACTCGTTCCATCACCAGCGACGATCTGGACAGTTTGATGAGGCGCAACGAACATTTGCTGTGGGGTAACGCGGATGTTGCCAAGACTCTGTCACCGACCGCTTTGGGAACAGACAACTTTAATCTGGATGATAACGGCAGGACGGCGATTCTAGAGAAAGAACTGGATCGATATATCAGTAATATCCGGAGAATCCATCGGGAGCACGGCGTGCAGAGCGTGGACGAACTGGACCATGAGCAGAACACTAGCGGCGATCTGTTGAATGTCTCCCTGACCGAAGATGGTCTGGAACTTCCAGCCGAGGATCGGGCGAGGAAGGAGAAGGTACCCGAAGAAATGGGCAAGATTCTAGCATTGGCTAGCGATCTCGCGTCCAAGACGGCGACTCTGAAGGATATTGCACGAGATTCGGTCGGGCAAAACGATAGTTTTGCACTCATGGAAGTCGAGGACGGAATTAGACGTCGCGAGAGTGCAAAAAGCGATGCGTCGGAATTTAAAGAGAAACGCGAGGCTGAAGGACGTACAAGAAATGAAATTCAAGAAGACGTTGCGACACACTCAGCGAAATTAGATCGACCGCGCGGAGACGCGCAGATTGCGAAAGAGGACTGGAATAACGCGACCGATTCAGCCGAGTCACGGGAACGCGATCGGGAAATACCTACTGCAAAAAAAGACAGCGTGAACGAGGAAATAGCCACGAGTGACGGATCACGGATCGACGATCCGAGAAGTGCGTCGGATGAGAAACGACTTGACCTTGTAACCGGTAAAGAATCGGATATCGATGGTGTGTTCGATGCTGCCGAAGAACTGGCGCCATGGGATCTTGCAAGTGTGCAGAAAAAAGTTCACGAGTTACATTTGGACGATGTTGACGGAGACCGAGCGGCGGGAAAAAATGTCGAAGACACGATGGACATCAAAGAAGACATCGTTAACGAATCGTCACGATTCATCGAGCAAAACGTGAATAATGAAGTGGAGAACGCGCGTCCTCCGCAGGATATACTCCCTCGTTCGGAAATGGAAAAGAAAACATTGGACATGAGCGAGATAAATGAGACCGAGGAGCAAACTGAAACACGTGGACCTATCGAGGACGCTCAAAATGTACCCTCTAAAGTTTCGGATCAACATTCAGTTGATGAACCTAAGACCGCATCGCAGCCAGGTGAGGAACTTGGTGAACCAGACGAAAGTGACAGAAGAAAATCGGACAATGACGAGACGACGGAGCTTCGAGTCGACGATCAATTCGAAGGTGTTGTAAAAGATAGTGAGTACAGTGCCGAGCAAGGATACGCTGAGGATCCGAGTAAAACGCAGCAGTACGAGCAACAAGATCCAAACCAGCAATATTACGACCCAAACATGCCGTACGAGGCTGGTAACGAGGAGTATTCGAGATATGCTGATCAAGGATACGCTCAAGATGGTCAAGAGTACGTCGAATACGTGGCTGACCAGTACGAACAGTACCCTGAAGATCTCAATAACCAACAGTACCAGCATTATCCTGACGCGCAGTACGAGCAGGATCCGAATCAAGCGTACGATTACGGCTATGACCCCAATCAGGGATATGGTGATCCTGCTCAGCAATACGACCCTAATCAAGGATACGAGAACAATCCTGACACTCAGGCGTACGATTACACTGAGCAAGTACCCTATGATCCTAATCAGACATATGATAACGCGTACGAACAGGAATACAAGGAGGAACAACGAAATCCTGATGATGACACCGAGGATCGTGTAGAGAAACCAGAAGCAGAAGAGACCTCACAGATACAGGTGGATCCAGAATCGGAACACAAATCGGACAAAAATGGGGATAAATTGCAGGCGGATGTTAACGGAGCGAGTCAATCGAAGAAGAAGAAAGATGTGATCAAGTCCCTTCTGGATTCCGACACAGATACGACAATCGAGAAGAATGTTTCGAACACAGAAAGTGATTTCGATTTCAATTAAGATATACGACACACCGGAAGGATGTTGAACTTGTTATGGATGAAGAAAAATGGTGACGATGAGATCTCGTTAATAAATGAGATCTTGGCATCTCTAAATGCCGACGTGAATATCTGCGATTAAAAGAGACGGATATAAATAATTCTAATTTTTATTGAAACGTGCAATGAGAGAGGAAGACATACATTTAGGTAGGTGAAGATAAACTAATGAATGTCAGTGAGACAAATGTGATCCAAGGAGGAACGCGACTGAATCTTGAAATGAATTACAAAAATAAAATGGACTTCCGTTTGTCCAGTTTATTCGCGAGAAGTGCCTAGAATATGGGACAATGAATTTAATTTTAATTATAGTTTCAATTAGAGCCCACGATTTATAGCGAACGGCGAGAATAATTAATTGCGAATTTCGCTTGCTACCGTAAATATCATATTTACATAATGTAGACGTAGAATAAAATGGTGAAGCAAAATGCGAGTGAAAATGTACATTATTTTGCAGACGTTTACCTACTTTCGGAAAGGAGAAAATCTCTCGTTTGAGATTTAAATTAATTAACGTCTATAAGTGCGCATTTACGCAGTTGCGAAGAAATTCATTGTTATAAAAACACGCTTGATACATCATTTTTTTACTTTAAAGATGACGCGACTAAAAAAACGTGATTTTTAAGTTATTATGAATGAATTCAGTAAACATTATTTTAAAAGTGACCTATCTTCTCATAAAAAATTGTCAAATCGTCGTCACTACTAAAAAAAGATGGTTTTTTAAGGATTGTGAAAAACGAGAAAACTTGATCATGAATATATTCTTTTTACCAATTATTTGATTAATCAATAATTTTCTGTCAAGTTGAAAAAGTTTTCCCTTTTCTTGGGAAATTTAATGTTTTGAATTGTTCCTTTTAAATAAGACAACGATATTATAAAAATTGTTTTTTGAAGAATTACTTGCGGAATCAAATTTTCTGTTCTATTTTCTCATCCAAAGTACATATTGCGCAATATGTGCAATGAGTTAATAAACAATTATATATTCAACGAATATAAATTCATATTTAATAATTTAATAATTAAATGTATTACGACTAGACATGCGCAACAATCGCGCAAGTGCATCGACAAATCCATTTTTCATCTAACAATCTTGTTTTTTTTTCATGCAAAATTTCAAGACTGGGTTTACAAGTTTGAAAAATTGATCGAAGTTGTAGCCGGCTAACGTAGTCCCTCCAAGCTTTTTTATAATCTACGCTCGCGTGCAAATAATTTATGCGTACGCTACGCAACGTGAGACCCTCGGTCCCTCGCGTCCTGTATAATTAGTGCAGCATGGTGGCGGTGTGGCGGTCAGTCGCGCGGTATGGATTTTCACGGGATCGACGGGGAATGAGTCTGCGCCAGCCGGAACGTCGCGGTTCGCAGCTGTGTCGCGCCTCCTCGACCAATCACGCTCAGTGCCACGCGCGTCACACCACGGGCGCAGTGCCGTAGGAGCCGCCGGTGAAGAGATCGTTCGTTCATTTCGTCGCGAGTGTTCCAAGAAAGGTAGGTACCTTGTGCCTTTGTCACACACTTATTCCTTCTTTATCTCTCCATTATTTTTTCTTCCCTTGGAATTACCGTCACACAGAATCGCATTGTCTTGCGGAACACGATGCGCTCTGTCTGGCGAATTGAGTGAAAGGAACTGAAAGAGACAGAGAAAGAGAAAGAAAGGGAAAAGAGAATGAGGTCTGCGTGCACACACAAAAGAAATTTTCGTGACGTCTTATAATGAAACAGCTGAGGAATTTCATCACAAAGCGGAATTATTTTTATTCAAGTTGTATCACATATTCAATTCTGCATATCAGAAGAATTAGTTATTACTCCTACAATGAGGGTATAAATATATAAAAGGATTCGATTAAATTTAACATAAGTCTCTTAGCTAGAATTTATGAACATTTTTTAAAGCAACACTCTTATCGATAGCAGGCAACATGTGTATAGGAATATTTATCGGAGATTATTATGAGTTTATAAAAGAGTTGCAATTTGTATGCTCCAAGTCATTTATATCTGATACCATAGTATACATATTTTCTATACGTGCTCCGATAAGCATATTATCTAATTATGTGTTGAGGCAGTACCCATCCCATATACGTCACTTCGATATATCGTAGATCGTAGACAGTGACTCGCACCGTGCGTCAGACTCCACTGTCACGACGACATAAGCATACGGCACAAAGCGTGTTTACGTGGCGCAGCTGGAGGCTGGAGCGTGTACTGACGGTTCAAGACGATCGAAGTATTCGCGTGGGTATACATTCGGGAGAAAAATCTTGTGTAGCGTCGATCGTAGTCGAACCGCGTCGCCGCTCGAATCGTCTCGCGTCGTGCCGGTCGCGCGTAATCGAACGGCGCCTCGAACGTCGCTGAACGTCGCCGCGTTCGTGTCGCGACCACGCCGTCCTCGAGCAACTTCACTCTGTCGATCGTGCGGATCGAAGTGGTCTGCGGACGGCGCGTACGGCTGCGCCGCGATTGGTCAAGCGCGTGCGGCCGCATCGCGATTGGCCGAACGCGTGTGCCGCGCTGCCTTCTGATTCGCTCGCTTCTTTCGCCGCGTCCATTGTAGCCGTTCGTCCGTCAGCGACGATCTCCACCGCGTGGCGCGGCGCACGCAAGACATTCCTCATCGTCCACAGGAAAACCAGGCGAAACGAGCATAAATGTGAGAGATAGATCTTGTTTCTTTTTTAGAAGTACCTTTCCTGAAAAATCTAATTTCTTAAAACTGCAGCTAATACGGCTATAGAAGGAATCCGGATGCGATAAATTGCACCGTGTGGCACGACATATAGATGTAGAGCGATAATAATTTCGCGTTTGCTGCACGAAACGCATAAAAATTCTTGCGACGAATCATTAGCATATCAATTGATCTGGCACGAGTTGCACGTATGCTCTTTCCCCATAAAAGTCTCTAATGACCGAATACGTGAACAAAGCCTAGGAAGAATGACGTGTACACATTTATCGCTGGCCTATTTAAACTATATATTTCTTGACATTTTATGTTGGTGTTTATTTTATTGCATGTATATGGAGTAAGGATATAATATAATGTAAATATTTTCTCGCGTAATTTTTTGACATTTTAAAAGGCCTGTCACGTAAACCAATATTATGAAAATTAATAGCATTTTAACTCTCCATTTGCAATCTGAGTCTTTTTGACACAAACGAATTAATTTTCACTCTCAAATTCGTGAGCTCCGAAATAAAAGAGAACGGAGTCCGATTCCCCTTCTAGAGTATCGTGTTAAAAAACTGTTTGGTAATGTAATAAGAGAGATGTTGAAAAACAAATTTTTTCTCTGAATTTTTCTATATTTTTTGAAAGCTTAGAACAGTAAAAAGAACTTTAGACGGAGGAAGTAAAAATGTGATTGCAAACGGAGGTCAATACAATAAAATAATTATATTAATTTTTTTATTGTATTAACTATTAACTGTTTTGGAATATTATTTACTTTTATTATTTATTTTTGCATATATTAAACAGTAAATTAAAATATATTAATTTTTTTATTGTATTAACTGTTTTGGAATATTATTTACTTTTATTATTTATTTTTGCATATATTAAACAGTAAATTAAAATATTACAAATAGAATGTTTAATAATAAAAAAGATGAATAAATAATTATTCACATATTGAAAAATGCAGAGCAACATTTAAGCAAAAAAAAAAATTAACTAATTAAGACAATTATATTTTACTATTTAACTATTTTACTATTTAACTATTTTACTATTTAAAAATTATTAATGATTTCAGATATTTTAATATAGAAACTGCATAAAGTAAAAATTTGATAGTTAATCAAGGAAAAAATTATTTTTAGATTTAAACTTTTTCGGATTATGATGTAATACATAGAATATTTAACTGTCGCGCATATCATAAATTAATCGGAAGATCGATTGTGTATACGTGCGCAGAAAAAGAAATTAATCGCGTCGTTGTTGTATACTAATAAATAAACTGCAATACGCTTCAACTTACGTAGACATTAATAATTAAATCGCAAGCTAAATTTGTATGACGGAAAAATATTGCACACCGTTGTTTTCCAAACGATTCGAAATTCCACAGTAATTATGATAATGATGCGATTAATCCCTGTTTAAACGAGCGCGACTCTTAATTGCCAGTTAAAACGAGCTGAACGTTTAAATTGATAGAATAACAAATTTGTTATCAGAGATGTGCGATAAAACTAATCGGAGTACAGCATCAATATGCGAATCGGGTTGTAGTATATATCATGTTAATTTCGTTTTGCACATCTATTTGCATTAAATCAATCGATGATTTGTTTTTCAGTTCTTTCTTAATAAGTTTCTCTTATTAATCATACATTATGATCTTTCATATATTTTAGCACTCACACATTTTGTTAATCAGACAGTTAAATGATAATAATTGAATTCTTTCTTATTCAGAATTGTTGTAAAGATTAATATCGCAGTGTAGTTTTATTTCCTCACAATTAGCTTTTCTTATCGCAAAGATAAGAATGATTATGCGATCTCTTCGATAAGAAGAGATGTTTTGATACTTTAATAGAAAAGTCCTTTGATAATATAAGAAAAGAAAGATAGATTATAGTTCAATATTACAACTTTATCACCAAAAGACAATCAATAGTATTCTTAACATTTTATTTACCATTATAGGTAATTAGTGATTTATATATTATTTATTTAATTATAAAATCAGTAACAATCATGAATATTGAATAAAAATATAGAAATATTAAAGAGAAAAAGAAATATTTTTAACAAATTGTGTCAGTGTTACATTTGTTGTGTTAATGTCTTTTACATAACATTTGTAACTAAATTTTCTAACATATTCATCTTGTGTTAAATTAACACAAAAATTTGAATGGGCCGTTTGAGACACATAAAATGCATTATTAATACAAATTTTCTAACTGTATTTTTATAAATATTGTATTTATTACATCTTCTTACATAAAGCGCGCGGCTTTGCAATCTGAGCGTTTCGAGAACTTATCGTGAAATCAATGGCTGATAATGCAGCTACGTCAACACCGCGAATAATTAAATAAAGCGAGCACTCAAGATGACGAACGCATTTGCAGAATTATGGAGGATATGACCGTGAACGGCGTGAAGGAGGTGAATGGTGACACAGACAGACTCTACTACGAATTGGATGGCGAGGGCGACGCCGACAGCTCGACAACTCCGAGCCACAATGTGGATCACCATCGCGATCGTGAGTATCATCGATTGTTATTTTATGATGTAACATGGTTCTAATTAGTCGTGCAAAGAACGAGCCGTTACAACATGCAATTATAACTACGGGGCAAGATAATGAGAATAACGATTTTAAAGTCAAAGTTGTCAGGATGTTATTCTTTGACAGATGTTAATTGAGTTAAAGTTATTCTTTTGAAGTGTAGCTTAATGTAGAAAATACAGTAGTCTTTGACGAGCATCCGTTCGTTGCATCAAAGCTATCCTTTGACCCTCTACTCATATTATAAAGTACGAAACTACTTTTTGAAAGTATTCATCCGTCGAAAATAGAAGCTATATTTCTTAACTTCTTAAAGGATGACCTTAAAGTCACAAGAACAAAATCATTCTCAGATTATTTGCAATTTTTCAAAGATAAAATTAGACGCTGTATTTTCCGTGACTTTGCGCTTCGAATGGCCGATCACCTTCTGCAATCATGCCATGAAATGAGCGCGAAATGTATATTGTGGAATTAGACGATTCATTATAGTAGTCACAAGTCGCTCATAGCTACAACGTTTTATTTGGCCGCACGAAAGGCGAAGTTAATTAAAGTTCGTGAGAGAGATGGAGATCGATATGAATTATACGCTGCAGCCGCGAAAGGAAGACAAATGCCTGGAGATTTTTAATCATCAAAAACTTACTAATTCTCTTGGTGCTAGGTACGGAAATGCTAGCCTGAAAAATAATAAATAAATAATCGAGAAAGCCAGGAAAAAATTTGTAACTAAGATATGAACAAATATCTAAAAATATTTTATCGATCAATATAAGATGAATTGAAATAATTTTCCAATGCTTCAATGTTGTATTTATCTCGTCATACGCAACAATTTATCATTTGAATCAATTTTTTAAACGAATTATTATCTGGTTTGTCAAATTGAGATTTTAATTCCAATTACTGGCTAACTTTTAGCAACCATTCGAGTGGATTATTCGCGTAATGAGGATTGTGCGGTTTAATTTTTTTCGAATCGTCTGTATCAAGTTTTAACTGCATTTTCATTAACATAAAATCCTGTTGATGAACGCGAGTGAAAATTTCAGAAATTGGCAGGCAGCCTAAGACCTCTCTGCAGACGGCTGATAGTATTTTGGCCGTCGTCACAATGGTGCCGACGGTTCTCGTCTCGTCAGTGCGAAGCGAAACTTTCGGAACGTGAATAGAGGGCAAAGAGTTAGCTTCCTAGAAATAAACCATAATTCGGCCGTCAAGGTAGTTTTGCGACGTCCCTCGTTGAGTCGCGTTATGCACAATCCTAAGTCCCGAGATAAAGTGGCGATTACGTGGAAATTTTGCAAGTTTCTGGGAAAACAGCTCCTTGCAGTAATCACACGGCAAATTCAAAGGTCGACGTTAATGGTGAATTCTGAAAGTGACATACGTGAAGTTTGAAAAATTCCGCGAAAATAGCTCCGGCAGTTATTGCACAACCGAGTTGAATTTCGTCGATAATTGGCTGACGAAGATACGCTCCGTGAAAATCTTGTACATTTTCCAATTCCGATCTAATTCGATTCATTAGGTTGAGTGAGTCATAAATAACTTTTTACTCAAGTTCTTATTTTTTTCTAATGTGTCTCAATTCAAGATAAATGACTTTAATTACTTTAAAAGATTCAAAAAATTAATTATTACGTTTTGCATTAATTGGAATTTTGATATAGATTCAAATCGTGATGAAAAGATACAAAAAAAATCAGACACTTATAGTTAAATATCTATTAAGTATTCAAGTTGAGATAGCCAGAAATATAATCATGATAATCAAAATTTTGATTCATATGATCAGAATTTGTTTTATTTGTACTTCTTGTTGGTACAATTAGAACATTTTTCTCAGTGTCGCAAAAATAATGTATGAAAAAGAAGGAGAAGTTGCACATTCAGAAAAATAAATTATCATTTAATTTAATAATTTCTTAACAAATTATCTTAATCATAGCAATAAATAGTATTAAGATGACGTTTAATTGCCAAATTTTTTATTAAATTAAATTTTTGTTATTATATTTCAAAATTGAACTCTTTTAGTTGAACTATTTTCTAAACAAATATTTATGTCTATCGCTTACTCGTCGACGCTATCAGATATTGGTAAACTAACGCTCTTGTCGCTTTCGCATTCGTAATCCAATCGGGAAATATGATCAGAGTTCGCGATCATGTTTGTCGTGTGTTTGAATTTATATATTATACGTTCGAAATTGTTTCGGCATTCTTCATTGTCTTTCGTTCGCTTTTGTGACCTCGTACGTGGTGCTGGCACGGTTGATAAGCACGGTAATTAGCATATTATTTAGCACGACGTCTTCGACATAGCTAAAAGTGCGTTACAACGACGACGCGCTATTAAAAGTCACTTCACCGGTATCGTGCTCGATATATCTATCGTCGTCCCAGTGAGAAATGATAATGGAATCGATGTCGAATCGACATCGAATCGACGTCGATTTGATGATTTCGACGTCGAATCGACATCGATTCCATTATCATTTCTCACTGAGGTATCTCTCGAGAACGATTACAGTATTTCTTGAGAGTTTCTGCGGTATCGCAAAAAATTCATTCGTCGCATCCTCTAGTATATCTCAAGAATCTTTTATTATCAGGAGTTATCAACGAGTTAATAAATTTTCTGTCGAAGTAAGGAACTTTCGGTAGTGCGATTTACGCTGCAACGAGGATCGCGTGACTTGGGGCGACCTGGGAAAAATGTCGATCAGGGGTGTGACCACTTCGGAGAGTGAAACGTTCCTTGGTTCCTTGCGTCTACCGAATTTTCTGATCGATCTGGATGAATTTTACGAAGGTAAAAGCGAGCGCGGACGACTCGTGTATCTGTCGGATTGTGCTGTAGCGATGCTCATAACCGCTTGATGTCGAGAACAATTTAATTGGCAAAACACATTTATGTCGACATCACTTTACTGCGAAATTGTCTCAGATAACGGTATTTTTACGTCGCGGAAGAATTATTCCGTGTGAATAACACATGTGAATAACAATGATGACGAATCTTTGTGTTCATTAATGCCATCAGTGTTTCTTATCTTGTCAATAACACAATAACCGAGCCACTGTGTCCACGTATTCTTAATTGCGAAATATGTTTATTGTTAGATTATTATGACCACAAGTTGTGTAGAGAATCGCCATTTTTTGCGCCTTTTTTATATCTTTCCGGAATTTTCTAACTATGTGTGTGAGTCATATCTACTGTTATCTTCTTGAAGCGTATTAGATGTCTAAAGCAAACTCTTCATTAAAAAACTGAAAATTATACAAGTCATCGTCAGTATAAGTCGAAGATGTTATTTTAATAATTAAAAAAAATGTTGTTCTAATATTTTGTTTAGGCGAATTATTATTTTGCTCGAATTAATAAAACTGCAAATTATAATTTTAACTTGCATATAAATATAATATATATATGCAAGTTAGCGTCAGTCTAAATTGGAGATATTACTTTAATGATTGAAGAAAAACATTGCTCTAGTATTGTTTGAGTGATTCTTGTTCTACTTGAATTATCTTAAACTAGGATTTTTTATAACATCGATAATATAACATGAATGATGTAATTCTTAAGAATTTCAAGTAATTTTCATATATTTATGGTTAAGGCCAAGGCACATAGGTCGACGTTTATCTGTTATTACATAATTATAATGCACTCATTTCCGACATTGTGAAATATTAAACCGATTAATTTCGGAAAAACGCTATTTTGAAATTTTTATTTTGTAAAATTCTGTACAAAGAGTATAAATTTAATTAAACAAGTTTTAATTATTTTTATATATTTTGACATTCTAGAGTTTTTTTTCGATTTTATTAGAATAAGCTTGCATTTGGAAGCAATTATTACTTTTAACACAGTGATAGCGAAAATGAAAAATATTCCAATTACAGAACTTTTTACGTAAGCATCTCGACATAAATTTTTATGACATTGCTTATAAATTGCAATTTTATGTTATGTAGGAATCAGAAATGAAAAATATTCTAATTACAAAACTTTTAGAAGAATTATAATTTTACTATCTCTCTCTCTCTTTTATGCAAGCATCTCGACGTAAACTTTCATAATATTACTTACAAGTTGTAATTCTGTATCACGTGGAAATCATTAAGAAAATATTATTGATAAAACAGCGTTGAAGAAATTAAATACAACTGAGAATGGAAGATACGATATTAATAAAGCCGTAGAAATTATGAACTTATCTAAATCTCGTTCCAAATTCTTTGATTCTGAAATCACTTACAGTATATTCTGCATCTTTTGCGACCTAAGTGTTTACATGAGTATCAAAAATATTGACGCCAATTTATTTTCGTCTCACAGCGCGGTATTTTTGTCGCGAGAACCAGGTCCTACATGCCAGACGAGAACGAAAAAGTGTCGACGTTCTCGATTGAGAAAAGATTGGGACGTGCTACGCGGAGATCCACGGTAACCGTGCCAAGGAGGTGCGGTATTGATCTCTTCCGCGGCTACGTCTATACGCTATGCCACTCATCTTGGCGCGTGCTAGTCGCACCGCCGCGGCCGGCCGCCAGAAATTGAATCACGCAAATTCACGCGATTGCCGTAAATAGACGTAACTGTAGCGTTCGATTCTTCCAACGCTTCAAGGAAATTTCCGCAGCTTAGAGCCGGTTACATCATTATCGCCGATAATAGCTATGTTGAATATTCATGAAAGCTACAGTCGTTGGAAAAAGAGAGAAAGAGCTTCGCTTCTGTTGAGATTTAATTAAATTTTTGTTGTTACATATCAAAATTATCTTTGGTAATTTGATATTAAACACCCTTTTTTTTGCAATATTATGTTTTGTGTCGCTGAAAGTTTACAAGTATTACCAGAGAATTTTTAATAGAATTTTAATTCAGGAATTGAAATTAGAGAAAAATTAATTGCAGAAATATTAAAAATTATAAGTATATTTAAATAAAA